TCTTTACCCTACACAAAGAAGAAGAGCTTCTTTCAACACTTGTGGGAACTCAGGAGGTCAGTAATGATAGTTCGGGCTTTTACCCATTTGAAAACATACAGACAACCATCAAAAGGAGTAAACTTGACATTGAAAAACTTCATAAGCAAAGGCACGGTAGGAACTCCAAGTTCGTGCTTCTTGAAGAAAACAAGAAGACCCACCAGAATACTAGGGGGGAAAGTTGAGCGGGACAAATGTTGAAATGTTGAAGGACACTCTTAAGGAAGGGGTGGATTGGAAAACGAAGGTCGGTCTTGAAAGCGGCCACAAAGAAGCAGACCTTCTTAGGGATCTGGGAGTCGTACCGAGTATCCACGTTTGGGCACCAATGCTCCATACCCCGAGGAAAGCCAAATTGTGGCGAAATGACACTCATGAAATGAGGGGTGACCTCATTATGACCCACGAGGTCTGAAGCCCGAGAGGTAACCTCAGCCTCCCCAGCGCTGCTAGAAACCCCAACGCCACTCACTTTGGCCTTTCCTTTCCAAGACTTCATGGACACAGGAGAAGATAATGAAGGGCGTTCCTCGACTTCTTCTCTAACATCAATAGAATCGACACCAAAAAAATTATCAATCTCATCGCCTACATCACCTAAATCGACGTCCTCCTCCCCAGCAGACCTTTCACCCTTAGCAAGAGAGACCGATGAAGCAATAGCTTCGAAAGAGCCAGACATGACAGGATTGGAAAAAAGGAAATAAAGGGAGGAATAAGGAAATGGGACGTTGGCAAAACAATCCCTGAGAGTTGAGGGGTCAAGACTCCAATGACCAATGAGGAAGACTCTAGCAGTAGAATAAGGGTCTAGAAAGAGGGGAAGAGAGGACAAGGAGTAACCTCGATTCTTAAAGTAGCAAAATCGAAAGGTCAAAAAATACAACAACCACCTCGGATTCGAGTGATCCAGAATGAAGAAATGAACAAAGCCAAAAAGCGTATCTAACCAAGAGCGAGCGATAAACCAAAGCGGAATCGGAAAGCAAGCCTCACAGAATCTTCAAGTCAAATTGAGGGAATTTGTTTTCCAGTGAAACCCTAAGATCTTCAGTGGATTGAGGAAATAAAAATCGCAAGGGAAGAAAAGGAGCAAAGCCTAGGGAAAGAAGTTAAAAGGTGAAGGGAAACAATTTTCCTCGTCGCCGGAGCATTTAAAACTTAGTGTACGTGGGCCCTCGAAATATGGGACGTGCAAGAGAAACAAGGAAGGAATGATTGCACGTTCAGCAAAATTGCCAGAATGGAGTCCCATCACATGCAAATCGAGGTCAACCTAAGGAGACCTAATTCGACCCAGTCACAGCTCAACCCCTCCTCAAATATACTTTGACCAGGGATTGGGGGGCAGCTGATGGTATCTAGAAAAATTTTAAGTCTGAACTCGGGTATTGAGGTCAAGAAGGGAGTTCAGCTAAAGTTATTCGAGCTCAGAGGTCCAGACCTTGGACTCTCTCGACCTGCGCCTCGAAGAAAATGAGTGAAAGACGGTTGGCAACCACTAAACGCCCCCTCAACGGTAGAAAACGCCAGTTTAGGCACAAGAAACTCAAACGCCTAAACCATCGTTTGAAATCAAGCAAAACGTTACAAGAGAGAAACGAATATCTCGCCCTAGACTCCATGGAACTAGGAATTAGGCTATAAATACTATATAATGTCATCACTTTGAGGCAGGCAACAAAAATAGTACCAAGAAGACTGTGTAATTCTTTTTTATCTTCGATATAATCCCCATGAGCAAGAGACTCCATTGAAGAGTGGATAAACCGAGCTCTAGAGCTGGTGAACCATTATAACTCCTATGTGCAATCCCTCTTTTTCACCTTCTTCCAAAAAGTTACCACATCATTTCCAAGAACCTTGTAGCTCAGTTCAAATCCAGTAGTGTACATAGTCTGCTCAATCACGTTTTATCCACCATCAAGTATAAAGAAGTGTAACCCTTCATTATAGTGCTTGAGTCGGTTCAGAGATGGTGAAGTTGCTAGTGGCCTTGCTTCTTGCGGTGTAGTGGTGGAAATTGTGTCTAAAATCTGACTTGATGCAACACTGTGAGTGATGAAGAAACAAAACAAAGACTCATGAGAGAATGAGAATGAGAGACGTTGATTTAATATTGAGGAGGAGAAATTGGAGTGGGGTGGGCTAAGAGGGTAGGGGTTGTATCAAGTAATGAGATATTTTTAATGAGGTCTAGGTAGGAAAGAGGTGAGAATAGTCCCACCCATCCAACAAATAAGGTGATCAATAATATCTGATTAGTTATTTGAGCTTTTGCAACATCAAATAAAGCTATAGTTTGGGTCCCTAATTTGATAAATTTAGCACTTTCTAAACCCAAAAATGAGAGGAGGCCAAAAGCGTCCAGTAGGTTGCCGCAATTTGACCATTTGAAATGTGGTGAAGTTTGAGCTCAATTTTAGGTGTTAATCCAACCAAATTTTGTGGTCTTGAGCTCAAATTTGAAGAGCTTATTTTTTTAAATGAACCTAAAATATTGTTTAAGCTCGACTTATTTAGAATTTGAGCGAGCTTAAGTCCTAGCTGAATCTGAATAATTTGACTATTTTACAGATAAATGAGTCGAATTTTACGAGTTTGAGTCAAACATTTTAGACACATTTTTCTAAACGAATCTAAAAGATTATTCAAATTTAACTCGTTTAGAACTTAAATCGAGTTTGAGCCGAATTTTATCTAAACTGAGCCCAAATAACTCATTTTGATTAATACTCTTATTCAATCCCTCCTGAACCTGCGTCAATACTTGTAATGGAAATCGAATCATAAATACTTGGTTCAGTCACTTCGAGAGATCTTAATTTTGGATTGCCGGGTTCAAACCCGGATCTGCAATTCGGCTGGGAATGAACTCGGTGGATGACTTGTCGGAGGATCAAATTCGGAAAATGGAGCTATTGAAGGCTGTGATTAAAATGGAAGAGAAAACGCTGATGGAAAAGTTGGCTAAGATTTAGGAGAGCGTCGCAGCGCCGCCGGTGGTGGAGCTACCGAGGCGGGCGGGGCGAAAACTCATGAATGGGGAGGTTCAGGAGGTGGACTCGGTGATTGAGATGTTGAGGATGGCGATGGAGGCGGTGCTTCATACAGCGGATAAGTTGAGGACGACGGCGGCGGAGAGCGTGGTGAAAATACTAAATCCAATCCAGAATGTGAAGTTCTTGGCTGCCGCAACTCATCTTCAGCTTAGGATTCGGATGCTAGTAATGCAGAGAGAGGCTGAGCAAAGGGCAAACAATGGAGGTGGTGAGTTTTGAATGGTGCTGTATGTCACACTAAGTTTGAAAATTCAGAAACTCCAACAATTAGATTTTGAGTGGAGTTTATTATTGTATTGAGCCCCTATGATAATATAATACCGATGCTTTTCGTCTATTTTTTTTTTATCATTTAATGTTATGTAATGTAAGTTGTCACGTTATGTAAACTTTATTTTTAATTAATATAAGAATAAATCGACTTGTATGTTGCATGGAGTTTTAGACAATCGTCACTAATTAATAGACCAAACAAATTGATGTTGTAAATGTAATCGAATGACACTCCAAGAGCCTGTTTGGTATGTTTGGTACGTGGGTTTGGAGGAATTTTGGAACATGGGTTAGAGAACAAAACCCAACAACCCCATGTTTGATAAATCCATAGTTAATCTAGGATTTAAAACTCAGCCCGCATTAAATCCGAGAATTAAACCCAAGTTCATGGGTTTCATAAAACCTACCGGGGGTGGGTTTCATATGTAGGCTAATGGGTTTAAGTTAATAAATGATATTTATACCCTCATATATCTCATATACGTAAACAAATATGAGTTTGAATTAAATTGATTAATGGATACAATAGTTATTTATATACAAATATATTATCATAATAGTCATATATTCGTGCGCATACTAAATATGGGTATGGACGATATTAAATGTTGAATCTCATCTTTGAATTTGGAAAAGTTTGGACAAACTAATTTAAACCCCTCCCAAAAAACCAACCAAACAGCCCCAAAGGATTTGATTTGAGGCCTACTGCTGTTTAATTCAGTTGGGAAAAGGACGTTCTAAGCTTATACTATTCGTGTCGTTTTTTGTTAGATTTTTATTATTCTGAATCAATTTTACTCATATTGAGGTCATGTCTGATGTCTAAATCTAAAACTTTTGTTCTATTGGTTTTTATGTTGAATGATGACAAGCACGCAAGTCTTGGACTCGGCCACCGTCTTCCACAGCTTGTAGGATGAAATAGGCATGTAAGGCCAAAGCGGTGCAGTTTGTCCTTGTGTATCTGCTGCTAATGGTTAGCGCCTTTGTGGCGGCTCAATTTCATCTGGTAGTTGAAAGTGGGGGTCGCATAGTACTTTCTTTTATGTTGTTGCTATCTAACAGTATAAAGAAGTGTAATCCTTCATTATAGTGCTTGGGTCGGTTTAGAGATGGTGAAGTTGTTGTTGGCCTTGCTTCTTGTGGTGTAGTGGTGAAAATTGTGTCTATAATCGAACTTGATGCAACACTTTAAGGTCTATTATTTCATATCAGTGGTGAAGAAACAAAACAAAGTCTCATATGAGAGAGAGAGAGAGGGGTTGATATGATATGGAGGAGAAATTGGAGTGGGGTGGGCTAAGAGGGTAGGGGTGTATCAAGTAATGAAATATTTTTAATGAGGTTGTACGTAGAAAATGGCCTATTTTTTAAAACGAGTCTAAAATATTGTTCAAGCTCAGCTTATTTAAAACTCGAGCTCAACATGAATATCTCGACTATTTTACATATAAACGAACCAAATTTTACAAGCTTGAACATAACCTTTTAAGCTCATTTACAAAAATGAGCCTAAAAAATTATTCATACTCAACTCGTTTAGAATTCGAATTGAGATACCAAAAAAAAAAAAAAAACGAATCAAACTCAAGCCTAATTTATCCGAATCAAACCCAAATAACTTTTCTCAATTAACAGCCCTATTCAATCCCTCCTGAACCTGCATCGGATTGTATGATTGTAATGCAAATCGAATCATAAATATCTGATAAAATTAGGTCGTCCAAACCATTTGAGTCGGGTTGATGAACTTAGTGGCACATAACATCACTAATGGATGATAAATAGCGTTACAACACTTCCATTTTTGTCGATCCTTTATTCGGGATTCAGCATGATTATTGATTCAACAACTGTAACATACCAGCTATCCCAACTAATGTGGGGCATAATTCACAACAAAAAAGCTCCCAAGTAACCCAAAGAAATTGAGTTAACAGCATTACAGGCGGCTCCGTTGGGTGGATGCAGCCGGCTTGAAACTAGCAACACCAGTAATCTCCCTTCCTGTAACCAATGTGTTGATGTCATAGGTGCCTTCATACGTGTAAATTGGTTCCAAATCGCAGAATGCCTGCACCAGAAATTTTTCTCGAGACATTACAAAAAGGCGGCTTAAAGATGAACAGGTAAACATACATGTCTCCATGTGATGCAGGGAAGCGGGTAGAAATAACACCAAAACTTCCGCCACTCGTTCTGCATCACCACGTCTATGTATCAAAGACGAGATAGTCCCTCAATGTTTAGCTATAACTGTTTACGATGGGACAAGGCTTAACCTATAGTCTAGTGACTAAGAAACAGCATTATCATTTACCTAGCTTAAATCAAAAACAAATAATCCTGTTGGCCAAGATGTGGAAAAAACTTTAAAATTGAGATTTTCCTACAAACCTTTGCGACTAGAAAGTCCGCCAAAATTCCATTGCCACCAAGCAATTCACGTCCAAGAGAAACAGTCTCCCTGGCCCTCAAGGTAATCCATGACTGAGTATAAACAAGATTATTCATCAGTGAACCAGAATCACTAAATGAATGACATCATGCGTTCACTAAAAAATAAAGGAGTTGTTACCTTCCCCAAGCTAGCATGACCAGGAGTCATTTTATCCTTCTCATACAACTTGCAAAGGCGCCAACCAACAAGAATCATTGCTTGAACATTACCCAACATTTGAACTAGTTTCTGTTGGTTTATTTGGAAAGTTGCCAATGGAGCTCCGAACTGCTTCCTCTCTTTCAAGTATCTTTCGATATCATAAAGATAAAAGCACATCAAATGAATAGATTAGCTCATATTTTAGGGAATGTTAACCTAAAAATCTGTTGCTCTGCTGATATTAAATAATGGACCAGCCTATCCTACCTTTCTTACTTCTACCAACAAGTATGATTTCCAGAATGGAAGCAATAGTGGACTTCTGTCCCTATGCTTATTTTTATGCCACTATCATGGTTGTACTTATTTTGGAGATTGACGACCGGAGATTAGAAAATTGAGACCATTTGATTCTTTTTAAGTAAAACGGTAGTTAAGGATGTGAAACCACTCATTCTAAATCTCAAACACCTCTCACTTTCCAACACATAAAGCAGTACAAACAAAAAGAAAAATAGATTAGAAAGAACTCTGATACTTGAACATGAACATCTCACAACTAGCAACAAAAAGTGAGTTTTGGCGGATAATGAAGGCTGAGCACAAGAAAAGCAATCATTAAGTGAGCTTTAGCTCGAAAGAACATCATGGTTGACCATTTTGCTTTGCTCATTGCAAAGCAATTAAGGGGCTAATTNCCGGATAATGAAGGTTGAGCACAAGAAAAGCAATCATTAAGTGAGCTTTAGCTCGAAGGAACATCATGGTTGACCATTTTGCTTTGCTCATTGCAAAGCAATTAAGGGGCTAATTGCTTCAGATGGAAAGGTTGATTAGGGGTAGAGCCAACGCATTGCCACCGTGGAGCATCAGATTAGAAATCTATCGGCAACTAGTTCCTTATTCTTTACCACTACTTCATATAAAATCTACCATGTGAGTTTCAGGGAGTAAAAACATCATTAACAAACTTCCCCCATGTAATATCTTGCCAAAAGTAGAGCATTTCTTTGTTATGATACCTGTGACACATATCATAGACACCCATTGAAATTCCTATTGGTTGCCAGGCGACCATGACCCGTGAAACAGCAAGGACCTGTTTCCACATAGCACTTAATGGATTAGCAGAAGTATATATATTTTTTTTGCTGGTTTATTAGCAGAAGTATATAAATTACAAAGAAAAAGGATGAAGTGGCATAGATATTACACAAAATTGAGAGAACAAATGAAAGACAAAAACAGCAAAGTAAAGTAACCAGATCGATGGCAATTATAACTGAAAATATCTCAGGAAACAGACCATAAAGGTCTAAGAGACCTGGCACAGATCCACTTCTTTCATAACATCCTCCTCCCCTTCCCCTCCCTCCATTCAAACACCCAAAAATGAGAACATCACTTTGTGCTCATAAGCCTGAGTTTCTACTAAGCTTGCAAACATCTATAATACTTAGACTACTAGCCATGGGAGCTAAAATGCACTGAAGCAAGTTCAGTAAGAAAACGTGACACGTACCAACAGATCCATAGTCAACTATGGAAGTTTTTGCCTAGAGGGCCATCTAGAAATCCACAAGGAAGAGTTTACATGAAATTGGCTCAAACAAAGGTTTTCCACTTATGCTGTACACCATTTTATTGCCAACAAGATTCAGGGATATAAGACAATCTGGAATCTTCTCATAAATTCACAAACAATGAATTATATAGATCTCACATCTTCATCAGAATTGAAACAGTTAGAAAGGATGACAAAAGAGAGAGACGTGGATCATGAGCGGAAAAAAAAAAATTAGAGAGCTGCAAATATGAAAGAAGCCTCCCTTACTGTGATACAAGTTATATATAGATATTGCCATAACGGCATCTGTAAACAACATTAGTCGACATAGCAATCTTGAAAGGACTAGAGTAGTCCCTGCAACATACACGGGCATCGCTATGGCTATCCTTATTTGGTCACCTATCATACAAACTCCTCTTAATTCTTCAATGTGCAACGAATTGGCAAAGTAACCACGTAATATGTCGAAAGATCAGCACTCTGACACTCAAGATGAAAATGAGGAAGGAGGATTCTTCACAATAAGATTCCAAAATCTCCTTNCGAAAGATCAGCACTCTGACACTCAAGATGAAAATGAGGAAGGAGGATTCTTCACAATAAGATTCCAAAATCTCCTTTTCTTTTCCCCTGTCATACACTTTTAGATTGTGCANTAACACCAAAACTTCCGCCACTCGTTCTGCATCACCACGTCTATGTATCAAAGACAAGAGATAGTCCCTCAATGTTTAGCTATAACTGTTTACGATGGGACAAGGCTTAACCTATAGTCTAGTGACTAAGAAACAACATTATCATTTACCTAGCTTAAATCAAAAACAAATAATCCTGTTGGCCAAGATGTGGAAAAAACTTTAAAATTGAGATTTTCCTACAAACCTTTGCGACTAGAAAGTCCGCCAAAATTCCATTGCCACCAAGCAATTCACGTCCAAGAGAAACAGTCTCCCTGGCCCTCAAGGTAATCCATGACTGAGTATAAACAAGATTATTCATCAGTGAACCAGAATCACTAAATGAATGACATCATGCGTTCACTAAAAAATAAAGGAGTTGTTACCTTCCCCAAGCTAGCATGACCAGGAGTCATTTTATCCTTCTCATACAACTTGCAAAGGCGCCAACCAACAAGAATCATTGCTTGAACATTACCCAACATTTGAACTAGTTTCTGTTGGTTTATTTGGAAAGTTGCCAATGGAGCTCCGAACTGCTTCCTCTCTTTCAAGTATCTTTCGATATCATAAAGATAAAAGCACATCAAATGAATAGATTAGCTCATATTTTAGGGAATGTTAACCTAAAAATCTGTTGCTCTGCTGATATTAAATAATGGACCAGCCTATCCTACCTTTCTTACTTCTACCAACAAGTATGATTTCCAGAATGGAAGCAATAGTGGACTTCTGTCCCTATGCTTATTTTTATGCCACTATCATGGTTGTACTTATTTTGGAGATTGACGACCGGAGATTAGAAAATTGAGACCATTTGATTCTTTTTAAGTAAAACGGTAGTTAAGGATGTGAAACCACTCATTCTAAATCTCAAACACCTCTCACTTTCCAACACATAAAGCAGTACAAACAAAAAGAAAAATAGATTAGAAAGAACTCTGATACTTGAACATGAACATCTCACAACTAGCAACAAAAAGTGAGTTTTGGCGGATAATGAAGGCTGAGCACAAGAAAAGCAATCATTAAGTGAGCTTTAGCTCGAAAGAACATCATGGTTGACCATTTTGCTTTGCTCATTGCAAAGCAATTAAGGGGCTAATTGCTTCAGATGGAAAGGTTGATTAGGGGTAGAGCCAACGCATTGCCACCGTGGAGCATCAGATTAGAAATCTATCGGCAACTAGTTCCTTATTCTTTACCACTACTTCATATAAAATCTACCATGTGAGTTTCAGGGAGTAAAAACATCATTAACAAACTTCCCCCATGTAATATCTTGCCAAAAGTAGAGCATTTCTTTGTTATGATACCTGTGACACATATCATAGACACCCATTGAAATTCCTATTGGTTGCCAGGCGACCATGACCCGTGAAACAGCAAGGACCTGTTTCCACATAGCACTTAATGGATTAGCAGAAGTATATATATTTTTTTTGCTGGTTTATTAGCAGAAGTATATAAATTACAAAGAAAAAGGATGAAGTGGCATAGATATTACACAAAATTGAGAGAACAAATGAAAGACAAAAACAGCAAAGTAAAGTAACCAGATCGATGGCAATTATAACTGAAAATATCTCAGGAAACAGACCATAAAGGTCTAAGAGACCTGGCACAGATCCACTTCTTTCATAACATCCTCCTCCCCTTCCCCTCCCTCCATTCAAACACCCAAAAATGAGAACATCACTTTGTGCTCATAAGCCTGAGTTTCTACTAAGCTTGCAAACATCTATAATACTTAGACTACTAGCCATGGGAGCTAAAATGCACTGAAGCAAGTTCAGTAAGAAAACGTGACACGTACCAACAGATCCATAGTCAACTATGGAAGTTTTTGCCTAGAGGGCCATCTAGAAATCCACAAGGAAGAGTTTACATGAAATTGGCTCAAACAAAGGTTTTCCACTTATGCTGTACACCATTTTATTGCCAACAAGATTCAGGGATATAAGACAATCTGGAATCTTCTCATAAATTCACAAACAATGAATTATATAGATCTCACATCTTCATCAGAATTGAAACAGTTAGAAAGGATGACAAAAGAGAGAGACGTGGATCATGAGCGGAAAAAAAAAAATTAGAGAGCTGCAAATATGAAAGAAGCCTCCCTTACTGTGATACAAGTTATATATAGATATTGCCATAACGGCATCTGTAAACAACATTAGTCGACATAGCAATCTTGAAAGGACTAGAGTAGTCCCTGCAACATACACGGGCATCGCTATGGCTATCCTTATTTGGTCACCTATCATACAAACTCCTCTTAATTCTTCAATGTGCAACGAATTGGCAAAGTAACCACGTAATATGTTGAAAGATCAGCACTCTGACACTCAAGATGAAAATGAGGAAGGAGGATTCTTCACAATAAGATTCCAAAATCTCCTTTTCTTTTCCCCTGTCATACACTTTTAGATTGTGCAATAAAGTAAAGCTAATGATTGGGTGAGGTTAGAGAACAGTGGTAAGTTTACAGGACAAGTTAGATTAGATTTACACAACTACTCTTAGGGAAACTTACCAAAGAGAACATTACATCTTGATAAAAACACATGATATTTAATTGATTGATAAAAACACATGATATTTAAGTGATTTGAGATGAAAAATATTCATTACAATATTGGCTCCATACCGCCATACCTTGTTTGTATCCTGAAAAGAATTGACACCAGGTAATCTGTCCTCATCAGGGACAAAAACTTTCTTCAAAAGAATATCTCCATTCTGAACCATCCGCAAGCCAATTTTGTTTTCTATTTTAGTAGCTTGCAATCCAGGGGCATCCTTCTTTACTATGAACCTGAAACAGAAGCACATGTCATGCTCTAGAGAAAGAATAAGTATATACAGATTATGGGACTCCTATAAATGGTTAAGCCACTTAATATGTTAGGATGTTGCAACTCGCAATCACAAAGTACATATCAGAAAAGGAAAAAAAATATATAATAGAAGGGGTTAAATCCAGCATCATTCAGTAGATTCTTGTAAAAACTTTCTAGCTAGTCATTGATGTAACTAACAACCCCTATATACATATTAACAATCTTCTCACAAATCCTAGCACGACCATCCTACTGCTCAAACCCAGNGCTAGTCATTGATGTAACTAACAACCCCTATATACATATTAACAATCTTCTCACAATCCTAGCCCGACCATCCTACTGCTCAAACCCTGACAATTCTGAACCATCACATGGCAACAATTCCTAGTCTCGTATATCCTTTGGCAAACAGGTGATAGAGACTTTGCGCATATACAGTTAACAGCATCTCCTTGGATGCACAGCTTTAGAGTTTATGATGATTTTATCAGTTATTCACTAATTTGAAAATCCACCAATATGCATAATGATGCAAATGGAACAATAAAACAAGTTTCAATTACCCATTTATCTGGTTTGTGGAAGTGTTCCGAGCAAAAATAACCAATACATCTGCAAAAGTGCTGTTTCCTATCCAGCGCTTTTGACCTTCAAGGATCCAACCTCCTGAGACCTGACCATTCCAGGACACAGAAAGAACACACTTCAAAACTAAATTTGGTCAACTTATAATGAAGAACCAATGATGGGCCACGCAACTTAAAATATATGAAAAAGATTGAGATCCTGGACCTTAATTGCTGTGGTTTTCAAAGCACTTGCATCGCTTCCATAGTCTGGCTCAGTCAAAGCCTAAGATGCATAAGAACGATATGAGTTAACGCGGGGACTAGAATCAGTATAGGGAATGTCAACAGAATACAGAAAAAGTGACACATCCTCACCCAGCAAGCTACAGTGTTAAGTTGGGCCAATGACGGTAAATATTTCTGCTTTTGTGTTTCCGATCCACACAGTGCTATTCTTGGAAGATGAACAAGTAATTGAAAAATCATCATTTATCAATCATTTCTATGTATCTTTTTTTTTTTAAGGAAAAAAAAAATCAAACCTTCAATGACTAAGAAGCAAGAGAAAAATAAACAATACCAATAGTAAGCATTGCCAAAGAAGAATGCACCAAAATGAAAGTAGAGCAGCTGGCATCAACTCTAGCACATTCTGCTGCAATAATAGCACTAGCAGTAATAGAGAGACCTGGACACCCATAACCCTGAAAAGTTAAACATCCAACCTACAATAAGTATCATGCCATAGTGAAAAACCAAAGCACATTGTGTAAATTACCTTGATCGTCCCACCAGCAATACTCAGGGCACCAAGTTTTGGAATGATTTCAAATGGAAATTCCGCCTTTTCCCAGTACTGGAAACACCAAAGTTAATGTCAGTATTAGTTACCAGATGCAGAACTGTCAGAAAGTTGGGTGCATAAGAAAGTACCTTGGTCATTATTGGAGCTACTTCTTTTTCCATACACTCTCTCACTTTTATTCTGATGGCCTGCTCCTCAGGAGTCAATAGATCATTGAACTGATAATAGTCTGAAGCTGTAATTTTAGGAGTTCAATATATTCATAACAGAAACATAACATTGTGCTGCATATAACAAAAGGTTTTAGTAATTCTATGGTTTGGTATACATGATTATTTATGTTTATATTTCCATGGTTAGGTATAAATGCTTATCCATTTAAGCGACACATCAGGGGTTTCAAGTCTAATAATCATCCTCTTTAAACTCGGATGAGCTGCCTACCAATTATTCTTTCAGATTGCACTACAGAGTACAGACTGAAGTATTGTCTACTGGATATGATCTTTATGCTTAGATTTTAAAAATAAGAGTAACCAACATTATTTTATAAGTTTGATACATACGAAATGCGTTAGAAACATTCATTTTATTGCAATAAGCTCTGGATACCATTTTTTTTTTCTGGTGAAACAATACTAGAATCTCCGGTTATTATTGATGATGTACAAAAGTGGATTTATGCACCACCTGTCGACTAATTAATGTAGGTAATAAATACAGTAAATATAAAGGTGAGATCTACACAAGCAACACTGGTTTGGTCATTTTAAAGGCGGCAACGGTGGCCGATGGATTTTATTGATAAAGTTGAAGGATATGCTCTTGATAGTTATGAGAGAGAGAGTTGTATAAGGTATGTAGAGAAATGCCCTCTCATATGAAGAGGGCTTACAATTTATAGGCACAAAGCTTGGTTGAGGCGATGATGTGAAGGGATAGGTGATTAGCTTTTCGGGAAGGATAGTTACAACTATAATAGGTACAATTAGAGATAGTTTTTATCTTGGAGAGTGGTTATCCCTATGGTTGCTCCCCACGTGCGCTAATCTTCTTGAACTCCTTGAACTTTGGACTAGGCCAAATCCACGAGCTAGGCTTGACCTGCCTTATAACTAATTTGGACTTAGTTAATTAATTGGGTCTAACCCAATAAAATCTGGGCTGATCAATTATCATTACCAGTATCGACACTCCCACACCCACCAAAAGGGTCACTAATAGGGCGGCCATTATCAATGTGGTGTTGAGGATCAAAGAGTATAATGGGGCTGTTGTAGGCATAAACATATACATAATTACATACAACGGCAAGGCATACAATCATGGGTGGAGGGAGGTAGGGGCCAGGGTGGGCACGTGCCCCCCTCAATTTTTTTTTTTTTTATTAGTTAGATATATGTATTATATATTTATACATATATATTATGTGTGCCCCCTCATTTAAATTAGGTCCACATTATTTCCTCAAAATAATTAAACAATTAAGTCCATTTAAAATAAAAAAAAATTGAACTCACTATTATCTATTCAAACTTATTAAAAAATCAAATATTTGACCTATCACAATCCACCCAAACCTATTAAAAAACAAAAATTTTAGCCTAATATTAAAAACAAAATTTTTGGCCCAACATTAAAAACCAAACTTTTGGCCCACTTGACTAAAACCTGTCTTATCTTTCCTTTTTTTTTTTTTCCTCTCTGTATCACCCACTTACAGCTGTCCACTACCCAGCCACAAGAAAAAGAGAAGAAACTAAGAAAATCTCAACACACGAGAAACTCAATTTCTTGAGTTTTTTTATCCTTCCTTGCACCAACCTATAAAATTATTTTATACATTATATTTACCCCTAAATTGTTGGAAATTTTAATAATGGTTCTACTCTTTTTTTTTTTTTTTAATAAATTAGTGGACCACTAACCCTCAAAAATAAATATGTTAGTTTTGGATTGAGTCAATGTTTTATTTGTATATTGACGAACATACAATATTTCTCTTTATCTAACACAATGTTCGTTATTTTTTAAGAATGATTTTTAGTTTTCATTTAACATTTTTTTTAGTAATAGTAGTCTATAACCTAATAAAATACGAAAATTAATTTACATTTAATTCATATACAAAAAATTTTAGAGATTTTAAAAAATTATATTTTATTGAAATATATAATTAGGTTAAAATGTACTAAAAAAATTATTTTGTGTCTTTTTGTTAAGATTTTATTTCAGCTAAATAAAAATTGAATATACTATTTCACAATATTTTAGTGTTGATTCTTACTTTTTTTTTATTCTTGAACTGAATTTTTTTGTATTAATTTCGGCTTAATATTTTTTTATACCAATTATATTTTGCCTCTATCATAGATATTCATGGCTCTGCCCTTGGCAATTTACATTTTTTTTTTAGAAATTTTTATGTTAAATGGACTTCATATATCAAATATAATATAATAAATATCAATATGTTATATAGTGTGATTGGTTAGAAGGAAAAAAAATTAGAATACATAATTAAAGTGCCGACCCTGAATAAAATTCCTGGCTCCGCCCCTGCATACAATGCGTGGGATTTATACCCCTCCCCCTCCTCCATCCCTAATTGCACATAGATAGCTCTACAGTTTTTGAAATAAGCAAATTAACAAGTAACATTACTAACAAACAAAATATCGATAAAACAATACTTCCCAAATTTATTTAACAAATATTGTATCTCAAATTATATGTTAAAATCTGCATTGAATGTTCGATGAAAGTTAGTAGATCCATTGATCTAACCACCAAGAATACAAAATTTAGTAAATGATTTCACAAACATGACATTACTCAACAAATAATCTTACTGCAGGGAGGAAATATAGATGCCGATGTGGCTTGGGGAAATGCAACAGACACATCCAGTGCTGGTAAATCAAAATATGAGCTCTTCGCTTCCTTATACATATCATCTGTTATAACAACCAACGTAATATCCAAATGAGATTTGTAAAACTAAATAAACAAAATCCAATACTACAACAAAACATAGCATAACAAACAGAAAAATTCAAATGAAACTCTACTCTTACAAAGCGAGAAGCTCACCTTGAGCTTTAGCTGACTGACCTGTCATGGCGATGGAATGAACCCGGTCTGTGACAAGGTTAGGGCTATGAAGAAAACGATTGCCAGAAGAGATAGATCAAAGATATATATATATATATATATATATATATACACAGATCACGAGATACGACGTCACGGAATTGAATATTTTATTATTGAGGATATAATATCACCAATCAATATACCTATGGTTTGCTGATAGCCCATGGTTTATTTGTCGCACTTTACACTAACTATGGTTAAGTGGTTCGGTGACACGCACAAACAAAGGGCAGGAAGGAAACGATCAGGCGTTTCAAACCCCGAAACTTCGTCTTCTACGGAGGCGTCGGACTTCATCATTCCGGCATGGGCGGTGGAATATTGTCGCTGACGAAGAGACGAAGTTTGGTGGTTCAAACGGCAGATTGGTTCCTTCTTTTTTAGAAAATATTCTGTGCAACGGTGATATTGATGACCCGATATCACCAATTAATAATAAAATTTTAAATTAGTAAAATAAACTTTATTTCGGTAATAATTGACTTGGATGGAAAAATAGTGAATAATTATTTGTTTACATGGATAGGTAATCTTGATCAGCTCAAATGACACCACACTCAAGTATGCCGTGAAAACTTCACTTTATTGTTTCCAACAATGAGGTAGAGTACGAAGCCCTTCTTTTTGAATTAAGATTGGTAGTAAAAATGGAAGCTCAACATCTCGCGCACCTACAACGACTCTCAGCTGATAGTTAATCAATTGATGGGCAAGTTCGAAACCAAAGGAGCTAGGATACAAGAATACCTTGGCATGGCGAAAAGAATAATCACAAAGTTCCACTACTTTCAGATAAGCCACATCCCTAGAGAAGACAACATGGTCGCCAATGCACTCGCAAGGTTTGCCTCATCCGTAGAAATCGCATCAGAGGAACCAACATTCATTAGTCACCAATTCGAGCCGAGCAAGTTGGACATAGAGGCCACAAATGTCAATTATGCATCAGCTGAGTCAAACTGGATGACCCCAATAAGGGCATACCTCCAAGAAGGTGTGCTGCCAGATGATCCTCTAAAGGCCAGGAAGTTGAGGATAAGAGCCTCCAAGTTCGCTATCTTGCAGGACATTTTGTACAAGAAAGGTTATTCCTTGTCGTTGCTGCGGTGTCTTTCACCCGAAGAAGCTTATTACGCCCTGCGAGAGATCCATGAAAGGACTTGCGAGAACCACTCTGAAGGGCACTCCCTTGCGCACACGGCGCTCATACAAGGCTACTTCTGGGCTTCCATGGTAAGGGACGACCAGGAGTTCTCCAAGAAGTGTGACAAGTGTCAACGCTTTGTAACTGTGTCGAGGCAACCACCGGAGGAGCTAGCAACCATTTCAAGTTCGTGGCCTTTCTCCAAGTGGGGCATCGACATCCTAGCCCCTTTGCCTCTCAGCAAAGGACAATATAAGTTCATGGTGGTGGTAGTTGACTATTTCACCAAGTGGGCAGAGGCCGAACCCTTAGCTAAAATCACAGACGCAAAGGTTAAAAATTTTATCTGGAAGAGTCTAATCTGTCGCTTCGGGATTCTGCATGTCATTGTCAGTGATAACGCCAAACAGTTTGACAATAACCTGTTGAACTCTTTTTGCTCCGACCATCAGATAAAACAACTTCACTCCAGCCCAGCACACCCGCAGACAAATGGACAAGCAGAGGTTATGGTGAGAACGATACTATGCAACTTAAAGACAAGGCTTGAAAGAGTGAAAAGGTCTTTGGGTGGACAAGCTACCAAGTGTATTGTGGCCCTATCGAACCACGCCAAGAACTCCTATTGGAGAGACCCTTTCCTCCCTCGCCTTTGGAACTAAGACGGTCATCCCTGTGGAGATAGGGGTACACTCTCTAAGAGTCCAGCACCACAACCCTATCAACAACGAAGACAGACTCCGCATCAACCTCGACTTGATGGAGGAGACAAGAGAGATGGATGTAGTCCGCAACACGGAGTACAAGTGATGCATGATGAGATACTATAATTCGAGGGTGAAGTCTCGTTCCTTCCAACCAGGGGACTTGGTCTTGAAGAAAGTGATCCTCGCCACAAAGCATGCACGCGAAGGGAAGCTGGGACCAAATTGGGAAGGACTCTATCTCATAACAGAAGTAGTGAGGCCGAGCACCAACAAGATTCAAAATTCTGAGGAAAAAGTCTTACTCCATCCATGGAATGTGGAGCACTTGAAGAGGTATTACCAATGACACCTTGAGAGCATCAAAGTAGTGGAAGTTGGGATTTGATTTTATTTTTTGGGTCATTATCCAATATTCAATGTACTTTTTTGAGAATTATTACCAAATATTGCTAGATCAATAAAATTTTCTACATTTTTACTCTAAAAAAATCTTTTGCATTTCATTTCAAAGGAGTATAAGTGCAAAAGTGAGGCTATAAACCGTCTTTCTAAAAAAAAAAATCAAAAGTCTCAAACACTCTAACTGCTCTCACGGTCTCCACCTCCTCCTCGTCATCCTCAGCATCATCAGAGCCTCCCTCACTATCATTAGTAGGCGCAAAACCTGAGCAGTCAATATCAGGGAAAGCAGTAGAGATCTTCCCTCAGAGATTCTCATAACCATCAATGAAGGCATCTGCGAGGCCGTTCTCCAAGTCCACCTTAGCACGAGATGCCCTCTCCCGAGCGGCCTCCACCTCTGCCTCCACAGTAGCCTCTCTGAGCATAACCCTCCTATGGGCCTCTGCAAGCTCAACTTCCCTGAGCGCGTTCCTCTCATGGATCGCCAGAAGCTCAACCTCAAGCTTAATTGCCCGCTCACGGGCCTCAATAAGCTCACCCTCCCTAAGCGCCTCACCAAAAGCTTAGACTCAAGCTTAGATGCTCTCTCATGAGCCGCTACAAGCTCATCCCGAGAAGTACTACTAGTTGCCTCAAACTCGACAATCCTCCCCTGAGCAATAAGAAGCTCCCTTTGCACGACATCAAGATCCAACTTTAGCTTGTTATGATTGAAGGCCCTTGAAATTAAGCAGATAGATGAAGTTGAAATTTGAAAAAGGTAAAAGGTAGAGAGGTGACAAAAGATATAAGAAGGAAGTGGAGAAAGGGAAATAGCGGACCCTTACCTGAGCCAGACCTTCCAAATATGTGTTAACAACCCTCTTAGTACCCGAAACACTGAGCTGACAAACTTTAGGTGCGAACACAAATCTCCCAAGTCTTTCTCTAATGACTAGCGGTCTGCCCAGCATGGGACCAAGCCAAGTTGGTTTTCTTGCGGAAGTTCCCGCATGAGGAGGGGACAAAGGAGGAGCAGAAGGTGTGTCCGACAAGGAAGACTTCAAAGTAGCAACTGAAGAAGTCGTTGGCTGAGGAGACACCATTGTAGAAGTCACTTGGGGGGCATCACCCGTCCTCGCCACCTTAGAAGAAAGAGGGCTCCTACTGGAATAGCGAGACACTATCACCTTTTTATTTGCTGCAAAAGCAACAACGTGTCACGCAGATGAAAAATACCAAGGGGAAGAGAAAATTAAAGGAGGAAATCAACTCACCCTTCTTCTTTGAAGAAGAGCCACCAGATTTTGGGGAGGGAGTATCGGCCCTAGCATCCTTAGGCAGAAGAGTTCCCAAATCTTTTTTAGGGCAAGCCTTTACAACCTACAACTTCCACTCTTGGTCTAGGGAGAGCACAAGGCATGTGTTGCAAAAGAATGGTGAGCACACATACATAAAAAAAAAGAAGAAGTAATTGTGCAGCATACTGGATTTTCTGGCAGCATCCCACCATATTAGCACCAAAGCTCTGTTGGCTTCTGTAGCCCACTCTCCGCCGACAAATAAGAAGCAAGATTTTCAGTCGTGACAATTGCAGCGTAGTCCCATGAGCATCGTACCACTTCTTGTGGTAAAATAATACCACCCATTATTTGGTGTAAGAGTTTCTCTCAAATTGTAAGTTGTGTGAAACTCCACAGGAGAAACATCTTCATGATGCATCTTCCTCCATAATACAAGAAAAACCCAGCAAAACCCTCCAACTATTGGGAGCTAATCGCCCCGGAGTCAAGAAAAAGTAATGCAAAATGTGACAAATGGAAGAGGACATAAGGAATCTTAGCCCAGCCTCAAGTGTCTTCTCATAAACAACAATATCACTAGAGGAGTCGTCGCAGCCAAGCTCGCCAGTCTTAGCCCAATGGCACAGCACGGTCGAAGAAATATGATAAGGATAAACAAGCCTCAAGATATCTTCATCCGAATTGAACAAACTGGAAAGGGTACTTACCTTAGACTCATCATCATCAAGTCCCACTTTGCCTTTGCGTTTCTTTTTTTGGGGGCCATAAAGATTGGTCTAAGCCACCATTTGGGAGGTCTTGAGGAGCTTGAGTTAAAGGAGTCATAGTTAGATCCTGATCATTAAAAGCAGTACCCAAAACTTCCTTATCGCCCGCAGTGTTTCGCCCAGTGCTTGGAGGGGTGTCTGACCACCTTTGCTCGTCCAAACGAGGTAGCCCAATGCCTGGAGAGGTGTCTGACCACCTTTGCTCGCCCAAACAGGGCAACTCAGCAGCTGAAAAGGTGTCTGACCCTTCAAAGTTATGCAAAACAGCACCTCTGGCGCCCAGATCAGCACCTGGAATGGCGCCTAGGTCAGCCCCTGCATTGTTTTCGACACCTAGGCAACCTAGATTGGTGCCCGGGCTGCTGCCCAGCTCTCCACGCTGCTCCCTGGCACGATTTTCTGCACCTCCAACAAAAGAAAGGCTGTTGTCCAGCACGCCTAAACTGCCTAAGACAACATTATCAGCGCCTAGGCAACCCAGATTGGCACCCAGGCCGTTGCCCATCTCACCTACATTGTCCACCACCTTCCCTGCACGCTTACTTGGATTGGAAACCTTGTCAAAACTACCCAAATCCGCACATGGGGTGCCCAAATTAGCGCCTCCAGTCCCTCTCGCGAGCTGCTGGTGCGCGCCCATAGCAGCGGCGGCCAACGGGGAC